TTAGTCATCAGAGAGATGAGCCACTAAATAAGAAGCAAGTACCGAGCCTATCTCTGAATCACCAGAATCTTGCAGATTCCCAGCCCTTTTCCATGATTCCCTGAAAGATGCTCATTTCTCACTCTTTATCTCTTTGAACCATGAAATGCACAAGGGCAGCCAGTCCTGGGACATGGGCATCCTGGGGCACAGTGTAGCCAGCTGTTTCCATTTCAGTGTCTGTCCCTGTCTTTCCCCCTCTATGACCAGGGCACTCGGTATTGGGGGCCCGGTTCACACCTTCACTGTCTTGGCCTTTGGACTGTATCTCCCTCTCGTGTGCGGGTTTCTCCTCTCTCCACGGTGCTTTCCTTTCCCTTTGTCTGTAGGTGTAACCATGGAATTTGTATCCCTGTCTCTCCAGAGACCCATGTCCTCTGGGTGTTTGAGTCAGATCCAGTGCCCCTCCTTTGCTTTCCTCCTCAAGGACTGGACTGGGGACTGGGCAAAATGTGGAGGCCTCAAGAAAGTCACAGCCCACCTCCGCCCATCCATCCTTCAAGCTCAGGGGCAAAGGGTTGTGGGCACCTTTCTTCCTCTCAATGTCCCTTTATTTTTTAAATGTGTTTGAATATAAGCCACACAAGTTTTTTTCACGGAGGCATTTCTTATTTTGAGAAAGCACCCTCCTGGTGCTTCCCCACTTCTTCCTGACCTCCTCTGGAAGCCTCCTATGCCTCCCACATTGTCATCTGTGCTGTCACCTGCTTGGGACCAGCGCCTGGCCCCTGCCCAATGACTGGGGACACCAAGGAGGCAGCTTCAGACACAATCCCACTCCTGTGAGTGCCCACCTTCCACATTTCCAACACCTAGCTATTTGGGGTGACACTGCTCCCTTTTCCACAGTCTTGTGCTGGCCTCAACAAGCATCTGACTCTCATCCCTGATAAACCCATATGGCACGCCCAGACCCCCTTATAAGGCTACAATCCCCAGAATTTAAGGAGTACTCCCTGCTTTAAACACACAGCCCCAAGATTTTTCCTGGTCCCCACCAATCATTGTAGCATAAAGGAATGTAGGGATCAGGCACCCAAAATAGTATCTACTTTAAAACTATGATATCTTGAGAAGATACCTAGCTTATTGCTTGTGACCCCCAAAATAGCTCACACTAGGGTTTTGGGGGCATTTTAGCTTTTCTCTGCCATATAAAGTGGTTTAGTTCTCCGTGAGGACCAAGGTGGGGAAAGACTGGGGTGTGTGGCCATCAGAGGGCTCCCTTTACAAAGGGCCATGTGCCCCCATGACCACCACCCCTGGCATTCGGGCCACCCTTCCCTTGGATGCAGTGGGCAACTTGAGAGCTGGAACCAAGTCCTGCTCCTTGCTGTATCCCTGGCTCCGTTCAAGTTCATAGTTGTCTGGCAAGAAGTACAAGCCTGGATGAAGGGCCTGTGGAGTATGGTGGGCCAAGGAGAGAGACTGAGCAGGTGACAAGGGCTTATTTGGGTACCATGGATGCTGGACTCGGGTGTGTCACAGGGCAAGCTCTGCAGGATCCCCTGGAAGTCGAGCCAAGGGGAACACATGACTGCTGCTAGGAAGAGACAAAAATAGTAAAGACCCCAAGGGGGCGCATCTGCCACAATTGCACAAGTCAAGTAGCTGATTCAAAAGAAACAACTGTGGGGATATGAGGGAAGAATCCCCAGCTCTGGGGGCCCTACCCTTCCCAGGGCCCAGGCTGCTGCTCCTTCTTGAACTTTGACCCTTTTCCCAGAGCCCAAATCTCCTCCTGGGAACTTTTCTGAGTGCAATGCCACAGGGAGCTTGGACCTTGACCTTCCCCAGTCTAGTTTGCATTTAGTAATCTGTAAACTATGGAGCTTGGGGGCACAGTTGCTTAAGAAGGAGTCCCTTAGGTCACACATGGCACTTCTTGGGGCGGCAGTCTAGGTACTGGGCCAGAGGCAGATGGGGCCTGATTCTGGGTAGGGGACCCTGGGGCTTGACTTGGGGACCGTACACTGCAACTACTTATTCCATGCAGTTCCTGGGCACAGCCCCCGGTGCTGGCTTGGGAAGGGCTGCTCCTCCCCAGCTGCAAATCCCAGGCCGAGTAGGCCCCACCTGAGCCTCCTCAGCCTTAGGTTCTCAGGGTGCCTGAGCTTAAAGGGAGAAGAGTGGGAAATTTCCTGAAAAGGGGGGATTCAGACCCCTACCTGCCATTGGGATAACCACCTTATACCTCCTTCCCCACAGCCCCAAACAGGCCTCTCCCAAAATCCCTGGGTCTCTGGTCCTTGGATTCTCCCCTAGGAGTGAGAAGCATTAGAAGCCAGCTGAGGGGTTCCGGGAGGCCCCTTCCTTCCTCACCAGGCTTCATTTCTAATTTCCCGAAAGCACCACCTGGGTTGTGCACAAATATCACTTCACTTCCTCCTGGCCTCTCCAGAGGCCACCCCCAGCTCCCCATAATCTGTCTTCTGGGCTGTCACCTTCTTGGGACCAGCCACTGGCCTCTGCCCTATGACTGGGGACACCAACGAGGCAGCTTCAGACACAATCCCAGCCCCCTGTAAGCACCTCCCCACCCCCAGAGCCTGGATCTTTTGGGCTTCCCTGGAACCTCTTCCTTAGCCCTGTGCTGCTCTCAGGAAGTCTCTGACCCCTAGAAACCCTTTATTAACTTTGTGATTCTTCCAGCATCCTAGAGGTGCTGCCCCCTGGACCCCGAAGGCCCCACCTATCCCTTACCCCAACATCACTGCTGCTCAAGATCAGGACCCTGATAATATGGACTGTAATTTTAGACTGGAATCCTAAGTGGTGAAGAACATGTTAGTTCCCCACACGAGCATGCACTATTTCCTAATTGGCACTATTCCCCTGGGATTTTTTTTTAAAGATTTATTTATTTATTTATACAAGCACTGGGTACAGTCAGAAGCGCGGGAGGGGGAGAGAATTCACCAGAGCCAGAGCGGGGAGCAGAACATGCAGACTGATGAAGTACACTGCTGAGGGGAGCAGCGGGCGGCAGGAGAGGTCTGCGCACCTTGTGGGACCCTCGCGGCAGCCAGGGATCGAACCAGCGCTGCAGAGGCCACGGGCGGCTTCTCAGCCCAGCGCTCAACCGCTGCGCCACCTGAGGAGGCCCTGGAATATATTTTGAATGTTCAACTTCCCCTGAGTGGGTTTACCGGTCTCTGCGTGGTGGGGGTGGGGGTGGGGGGCCGGCAGAGGCCGTGTCCCGCCAGCACAAGCCCCAGGCCCTAATTTCTGCTGTCGCCTCAGCACGCCCATCTGCCCGTCCTCACTGGGGAGGAAGGCACTTGAATGCAGGAACTGGGCCTCGTTCATCTTTGTGCCCCCAGTGCCAAGCAAAGATCCACACATATGATAAAGCAGTGGGCTTAGGGGTGGGTGAACCCCTGAAGAAACTCCAGAGCAGAGCTGCAGCAGGAAGTCAGCAGGGGAGGGGAGTCTCCGGGCCCCACCCACCCGCGGGCCCGGCCGCTGGGCCCCTGGGAGCGGGACCGTCTTCTGTCTTCTGCCGGGGGCTGTGCCCCCAGGCTTCCTCCCAGCTCTGCTGGCCCCCACGCCGCTGGGCTTGCTCCCACCGCAGCAAGAGTTAGAGGTGCCGAGGCCCTGACAGCTCCATCCAGCTCCATCGGCCCTGACAACGCGGAGACCCATGGACTGTCTTTCAATAACCCCCTTCCCCAGGGCTCTGATTCCAGTTCCCGTTCCTATCTGCCATGGCCCTTGAGGCAGCAGTTCTGAGCCCTGAAGTACGACCTGACCTCCCTGGCGAAGGAGGGAAAAGGGGCGGTTGCTCCCGCGGGGGCTTCCAGGCAAGTCTGGCAGGGGCTCCCAGACCTGGGAGGAGGCCTGTGGCCCCTCACCTGGCTCCTCCCTGTCCTGTCTGCACCTGCCACCCTTGGGGTGGGGGAGGCGGCCTTCCTGGAGGACTCCCCCTCCCCACCCCTCCAGGCTGGGGTTTGAGGGCTTCCAGCCTGCAGCTCTGCCAACCCTGCCCGCCTGAGCTCCCCCGCCCTCAGGGCTCCCTACTGGGCGCTTAACTCCGCACCAGTGGGGGGTTCGCCTGGTCCCTGATGCCTGAGAAGCACTTTCCTCCTGGACAGGACGCCCACCTGCTAGACGCCCACCCCGCCTCCTTAGCCTGCCCCCCCCCGTGTCGTGTCCAGAGCTGCGCGTCCAGGAGGCGGGGAAAGTGGGGACCAGGAAGTAAGGGAGAGGGGGCGCTCCTGGGCCTGCCCCCCCCCGCCCTCTGTCCCCCAGCCTGACCCCCTTGGGAGAGGCGGGGTCAGTCCTTCGGCTTCTGCTGCTCCCACTGCCCCCCTTCAGGCCCCAAGTTCTGTTCCCTCTGCTTGTCTTCCTCACCTGCCCCTACTATTTCTCCTGTGTCTTTTGGTCTCATGTCCCCCTTTAGCGTCACCGTCCTGCTGCCCAGTGATCTTTCCACTTTCTGGCTTTCCCATCCCGCGTCCTTCCCCCGTCACCTTCCCTTTGGATCCCTCCTCCTGAGCGCCTGCTCCCCGGCGCCCGCCCGCCCTCCGGTCACCAGAACCGGGGCTCAGAGGGGTCGGGCCGGGGGGGGGCACTGGGCGGACACAGACCTGCCGGCCCGGCCCCCTCAGTCAGGTTTCTGGCTGCTTCTAGGCTGCCGGGCCCGAGCTCGGCTCCGGCTCCGGGCGGTCAGCGGACGGGGTGTCCCCCGCTGCGCGGCCACTACCGGGGCCCCCTTTTTGCTCGCAAACCTGCGCTGCTCACCCCCGCGCCTTACACCTCATTTTTCAGGAACGGCACATATTTGAGCGCCATCCTTTTCCTCATTATGGACCTATGCATTGAGGAGGATGCTCGTCAGGCCCCCTCTGGGGGAGACGGGAACCCCAAGGCGCCCCTCGCTGGTCCCAGAGCCACTGCGCCCCCGGGAGCTCGTCCGCGAGTGGCCGCTGCGAGCCCCGCCCCCATGGCCGTTGCTGCCGTTGGGGCTTCCCGGGCAGCCTGGCAGGGCTGCGGATGCGCCTTGGCGCTTGGGCTGTGGAACACCCTCTTCCCCCATGTAGCTCCTGGTGCAGAACTCCCCAGCAGCCAGGGTGCTGCTTTTGTGCCGTCCTGGGATGCTGGCGCCCCCGGCAGCCTGGGGTGCGGGAAGGCAGGGCATGAGGAGCTGCTTGTCTGGGGTCTCGGGGGCCGGGCTAAGTTCCTGCCAGGCTGAGATACTTTCCCTTCCTTCCAGGTGCTGCCTGGTCCCAGATGCCCCGGGCGCCCCCATTAAAGTTCCCGTTCCTGGACAGAGGACTGGTTCCTCATAAATTGCCGATTCCTTGAGGGAAAGACATGCTGCAGGATGCCGGTTTTATTTTGTCTTTTACTGTGAGTTATCCTCGAGTGTGTGTCCGTCAATGTGGGGTCCAGCTGGAAAGGAGGGTGGATGGTGCAAAGGACTCTTCCCAATGTCCCTGAGTGTGCCGGGAAGGCCGGAGAAAGCATCTGAAAACAGCCCATGTTTCCCTAATTGCCTGGAGGGATCCTGGCCAAGGTGTGTCCCCCAGCTGGGGGAGAGCTGCTGCCAGCCTGGGCAGCCTGAGGCTGTGCAGGTACCTGAGGCTGGGCCCCAGGGCTGGTCCCAGGTGGGCTCCTGATACTGAGATGTCTTGATGCCCCTGTTTTCTCCCCCCAAATCCACCCAGCAACAGTTCCCAGAAGCCATGACATGTCCCTGCAGCTGGGGGCCTCCCAGGGTCTCTCTGGAGGCCCTCTGGGTCCTGCCTTGCCTGGGAAGGAAAGAAGGTAGGTGGGCCTGCAGAGGAAGCCCCAGAAGCAGTCCTCAAGTCTCCTTTCCCGCTTTCCATTGCCTGCATCTGGCTGCTGTCTGGGTTGGGGGCGTGGGGTGGTGGGTGTGCCTAGGGGTTGAAGACACTTGTTAGGAGGTCCTGAGTGGGTTCCCTGAGACACTTAGGAGTCCGCCTCCCTTCTTGCCAGGAGCTGCTCCTGCCACCTCACTTGATCTTGCTTTTTCCCGAGATGACTTGTTTGTTCCCTGTAGGAAATGTGTGTCCGGGGAGACCCTTCGGCTGAGCCCACAAGGCACCATCAGCTTCTCACCTCTGGGGCCTTCTCCTCTCTGCAGCGTCCACCTTCAGAGGCTCTCCCTGGTCCTCCTTGTCCTAGGTAGTCTCCCACCCCTGAATGCCTCTTGTAGTCCCTGGTCACTGTCCATAAAAAATGTGTCCCACAGCTTCCTAATCAGCGTGGGACACAGGTTGGCCACCGTGGTGGTGCATGCTGTCCCCAGGGTGACTGGGAGGGTCTTGGCGGGCACCCCTTTCCTGGGATGTGGTGTTGAGAGCATCTTCCTGTGGAAAAAGTTCTGCTCTGCGCTTGCTTGGTCTTTCCTTCCCTCCACCTGGATGTCTCTGTACCTTCCTACTCTGATCGTCCCTTTCCTTTTCTTCACAGAGGAGATTGGATGCCAAGTCAAGGAAGGAGCCCAAAGACTCACAGGGGAGGAAGCCATCTGAGTTTTTCGGTGCAGAACCCATTGGCTCCGGTGGTGAGGAGAGACATAATTTCACCTCCAGCAGTGCTCCTGAGTCCAGGAATTGCCACCCCCACCCCAAAGATCCTCCTCTGGCCATCATAAAGGGGTGAATAGTGCCTGGCACCAGTAATTTTCCCTTTCCCCTTACCACCAGGCCCTCGACTGGAAATGGCAAATAGGCGCCCATGGGACACCCTAAGTTTGTCCCCTGCCAGAGGCCTCAGCTTCCTCCCCTACTTCTGAGCTCACCCTAACAGCCCCTCCTGCTATCCAGTGGGTGAGGTCAGAGGGATGGTTTTTCACCCATATGAACTCAGATGGGGCACCCAACTTCCTCATTCCCTGGGCCCTAGTTAACTCTCCAACCAGGCCAAGACACTGTCTCAGTTGTCCAGATGCTGGGGGCCCTGTGCTCAGCCCAAAACATGCTCAGCTTTTTGAATAAAATTATTTCAAAATGGTGTCTACAAATATTGGAACCGCCCTCCTCTAAAATTATAGCTACAGGACATGGAAGAAGCTTGGGTTGATCTTGGTGTGCTCAGGAGGAAGTATCAGCGGTGGAGGGGACCGTGGGGTGGCCACACATGTGGTCAGGTTGGGGTTCAGGGACCTCCATTTTCTCCTGTGGAGATGAGCCTGAAATTGCTGCCTCATCATTCTGTACTCCTGTATAAGTTTCTAGGGAAAAAGACTTTTAAATTTCCTTTTAGGAAAAACTTCTGTGAACTGGAGGCTACTTCTATAATAACCATTAACTTTTTCACATTGATCTGGAAGCTTACCTATAATATCTCCTATAGTTTCTATTTCATATTTGCTTCTGGAACTGTATTTTTTTTCTTACACATTTTTATCTATCTTAGCTATTTTGTTACATATGTTTTTATTAGGAAAAGTGTGCAATAAAGAGCAGAGGTTGATTGGCCTTGAGTCTCAAGGCTTGGTTTTGGGAACACATGAATTCCTGAGCCTCTGCCTGTCCCTTGAAGGCGGTACTAGAAGGCCCTGTTTCACTTCTCTCTGTAAATGAGAAGTCTTAGCAGAAATCCTTTTAAAAATTACTGTTCTTGGGCCTCCCCAGTGGCGCAGCAGTTGAGCGCTGGGTTGCGAAGCTGCCTGCAGCCTCTGCAGCTCCAGTTCGATCCCCGGCTGCTCCGCGGCCATCGGAGGAGGGTCCCACATGGCGCGCTGACCTCTCCTGCTGCCCGCTGCTCCCCTCAGCAGTGTACCTCAGTCCTTCTGCCTGTTCTGCTCCCCGCTCTGGCTCTGGTGAATTCTCTCACTCTCCCATGCTTCTGACTGTACCCAGTGCTTGTATAAATAAACAAATAAATCTTAAAAAAATGTATTTAAAAAATAAAAAAATAAAAATTACTGTTCTTAATATTTCAAAAACGTTCATCCAAATTCTAAAAACTAATTCTTAGTTTTGGTTTAGGTGAAAGTGGGTTTTAGAGAACAGGTAATAATGGGCATCATGACTTGGACATGCACAGACATGATCTGAAAAATATGGTATTTATGTAGGTTCAAAAGCTCACCAGCACTCTGACTTTTGGAAAGGCACATGGAAAATACATGTGGCTATTGCACAAGTGTTCTGTGGTAAGCACTAAGAGATCATAACAGCCACTTGATGCTGAGTTGACAGTTTACAAAGAGTTCTCAGAGAGTCACAGAGACAATTATGGGGGCTGCAAATCTCCCAGCACAGAGCTTGGCACATGCCCTTCTTACTAGGACCCGTAGCCTGAGGTCTGTCTGTCAGTGCAGACAGTCACTCAGTGTGCCTTTCAATTAATGAATGGCAGTCATGATAAGCCACAATAGTATTAGGCTAGTTGAATTTAGTCACTATTAGAAGTAATAGATATTTTTTTATGACTTTAGAGTTACAGATATCTCAAAATATAGTTTATGCTCTCTATGAACTCAAATTATGGTGGTTCTTTTCCATCTGAGACAAAGGTTTTCTTTGGCATCAGGTTTGGGACAAGTGTCAACACTCCTGAGATTTAAGTGTGGGCAGACCCTTTAGACCCCAGAAGCAGGCATCCTCTTGCTACGCTATCACTCCCTTTTGCTCCCCTGATCAATACTCCAGCTACAAAAAGCATCAAACATCTCAAAGACATCCCAAAGGCACAGGTCACCAAAGGCAATACAAGAAAAGCCACATATATGCAGGTTTTCCTTAGGCTGCGAGAAGCTCCTTGTAGGCCTGAGGCTTAAGACAGACTGGTGGTGATTGGGATGCTTAAAATTAGAGAGCTTGAAAAACATTTCTTTATGAAATAGCTTTTTGAGCCTCTAGAGAAAGGATTTCTAGTTCAGAGAGTGACAGTTTCTAGTTTCACCACCTGCATTTTCTCACCAAGTAGGTGAGAAAGGACAAAAATAGAAAAAAAAAAAAAGAGAATGATATGCAGGAAACTGAAAAATATATAATAATAATGAAAACATCTTTTTTTTTTTTAATAAATTTTATTGTTATATTCCCCATACAATTGCAGCCCCCCCATTCTGACCCCAATCCCTCCCCTCCCACCCCCGCCCCCCTAAAAGTGTCTCTGGTTCATAGTTTTTTGTTGATTTTGATTTTCACTTTCTTATAGTTATTCATTTTCCTGGTCCCTTATTTAAGTTTTCTAGATTCCTGCTATGAGTGAGACCATCCGGTATTTTTCTTTTTCTTTTTGGCTTACTTCGCTGAGCATGATCCCTTCCAGCGCCATCCATGTTGCTGCAAATTGCATGTGTTTATCTTCTTTGAATGCTGAGTAATATTCCATGGTATATATGTACCACATCTTCTTGATCCAGTCATCTATTTTTGGGCATTTGGGTTGTTTCCAAAGCTTAGCTATTGTAAACAGTGCTGCTATAAACATAGGGGTGCAGGTGTTCTTTGGAATTGATGTTTCTGTGTCCTTTGGGTAAATACCTAGGAGTGGAATTGCTGGATCATATGGAAGCTCTATGTTTAGTAGGTCCAGAAATCTCCATACAGCTCTCCACAGTGGTTGGACCAGTTTGCACTCTCACCAACAGTGCAGAAGAGTTCCTTTTTCTCCACACCCTCGCCAACATTTGTTGTTGCTAGTTTTTTTTAATATGTGCCATTCTCACTGGTGTAAGATGGTATCTCATGGTAGTTTTGATTTGCATTTCCCTGATGACAAGTGATGTTGAACATTTTTTCATATGCCTGTTGGCCATTTGCATTTCCTCTTCAGAGATGTTTCTTTTAAGCTCTTCTGCCCATTTTTTGACTGGATTATTTTCTTTGTTGTTGTTGAGTCTCATCAGTTCTTTGCAGATTTTTGTGATCAGTCCTTTATCATTAGTGTTGGGTGCAAAAATGTTCTCCCAGTTGGTGGGGTTTCTCTTTGTTTTTGTTATTGTCTCTTTTGCTGTGCAAAAGCTCTTTAATTTGATGTAGTCCCAGCTGTTTATCTTTGCCTTCACTATCACTGCTTTGGGTGATGTGTCTGTAAAGATGTCTTTGATGTGCATATCACGTAGTGTTTCGCCTATATTTCCTTCTATATATTTTATGGTTTCAGGTCTTATGTCTAGTTCTTTAATCCATTTTGAGTTGATTTTTGTGTATGGTGTGAGGTGGTGGTCAAGCTTCATTCTTTTGCATGTAGCGACCCAGTTTTCCCAGCACCATTTATTGAACAAACTTTCTTTGCTCCAATGCATATTCTTTGCTCCTTTGTCAAAGATTAGTTGACCATAAATCTGTGGGTTTATTTCTGGATTTTCTATTCGATTCCATTGGTCTGTATGTCTGTTCTTGTTCCAATACCATGCAGTTTTGATGATTATGGCTTTGTAGTATAGTTTGAATTCTGGGAGTCTGATGCCTCCATTCCCTTCTTTTTTTTTCAGGAGAGCTTTGGCTATTCGGGGTTTTTGGTGATTCCATATGAATTTCATCAATAATTGTTCTATTTCTTTGAAGAATGACATTGAAATTTTGATTGGAATAGCATTGAATCTGTATATTGCTTTTGGTAGGATGGCCATTTTAATAATGTTTATTCTTCCAATCCATGAGCAGGGGATGTCTCTCCATTTCTTTGTGTCTTCTTCTATTTCTTTTAACAGTGTTTTATAGTTTTCTTTGTATAGGTCCTTTACCTCTTTTGTTAGATTTATTCCCAAATATTTGATTTTTTTTGTTTCAATAACAAAAGGGATGGTCTTTTTGATTTCTTCTTCTTCAGATTTATTGTTTGTGTATAGGAAGGCTACTGACTTTTGCGTGTTGATTTTGTATCCTGCCACTTTACTGAACTGATTGATGAGTTGAATTAGCTTTTCTGTGGAGTTTTTGGGGTTCTCTATGTATAATATCATATCGTCTGCAAATAGTGATAGTTTGACTTCTTCTTTTCCTATTTGGATTCCTTGGATGTCTTTCTCTTGTCTTATTGCCCTGGCTAGGACTTCCAGTATTATATTGAAAAGCAATGGTGAGAGTGGACATCCTTGTCTTGTTCCAGATCTTAATGGAATTGCTTTCAGCTTTTCACCATTGAGAATGATACTGGCTGTTGGCTTGTCATAGATGGCCTTTATGATGTTGAGGTATGTTCCTTGTATCCCCAGAATTTCAAGGGCTTTTATCATGAATGGGTGTTGCACTTTGTCGAAAGCTTTCTCAGCATCTATTGATATTATCATATGGTTTTTATATTTCTTTTTGTTGATGTGTTGGATAACGTTGATTGATTTTCGGATGTTAAACCATCCTTGTGCCCCTGGAATGAATCCAACTTGGTCGTGGTGAATTATCTTATGGATACATTGTTGGATTCTGATAGCTAAAATTTTATTGAGGATTTTTGCATCAGTGTTCATTAGGGAGATTGGCCTGTAGTTTTCCTTTTTTGTGTTGTCCTTGTTCGGTTTTGGTATTAGTGTAATGTTGGCTTCATAAAATGTGTTTGGTATTGTCCCTTCCTTCTCAATTTTTTGGAAGAGTTTGTGAAGGATAGGCACTAATTCGTCTCTGAATGTTTGGTAGAATTCATTTGTAAATCCATCAGGTCCTGGGCTTTTGTTTTTGGGGAGGTTTTTGATTACCATTTCAATTTTGCTGCTTGTAATTGGTCTGTTTAGGGGTTCTATTTCTTCTTTATCTAGCTTTGGGTGATTGTAGAGTTGTAAGAATTTGTCCATCTCCTCTAGATTGTTAAACTTGTTTCCATATAACTGTTCATAGTAGTTACTGATTATTCTTTTGATTTCTGCTGTGTCAGTTGTGATTTCTCCTCTTTCATTGACGATCCTGTTTATTTGTGCTTTCTCCCTTTTTTCCTTTGTGAGCCTGGCTAGGGGTTTGTCTATTTTATTGATTTTTTCAAAAAACCAGCTCTTGGTTTCATTGATCTTTTGGATTGTTTTTTAGTTTCAATTTCATTTATTTCTGCTTTGGTTTTTATTATTTCTTTTCTTCTACTGGTTTTGGGGTTTTTTTTTGTTCTTTT